CCTTCCCTTCCCTTCCCTTCCCTTCCCTTCCCTTCCCTGTTGTTTTAATAGAAATTACATCTTCCAGTGCAACACAGGGTGCTGGTCACAGGCACCACTGATACACTAAAGAAATGTGTCAGAGTTTTTTGTAGCTTTTTCTAAAAAGCATGTGTGTTCAAACTGAGTTGTGTCACAGGCTCTTTTTGGTTATTCTTCACAAGTCATGCTTAGTTGTCAGATGTTGTTCCAAGCTGCAGAGCTACAGTTTTGTTCTTTCTGCTGGCAGTACTTTGGTCGTGCTTGCTCAATATGTGTTGGTAAACACGACTCCATCCTTTCAGTGCCAAAGCCAAGGAGGATCCCATTAAACCCTGTCATACATCACCAAGAACTCTCTTTGTGGGTTTCCTCTTGTGAGTTTCTTCTCTTGAGCAAAGTCCCTGTTTCAGCATGGACCCTGCCATTAATTCTGAGGAAACAGCTAACCTCTTTCTGTAACTTTTTCTCTAAGTGTTGACAGAAGGAGACAGAGAGTTTCCAGTATGCCTTGCCCTGCCCTGGGAGCAGCAGCAGCTCTCAAGCTGTTCTCAGCCCCCTGAACTGCTGTGGGCAGTACCCAGTCACAGGGGTGGGGAGCACAGGCTGCATCCACCCTGAAAGGTGCCTGCTTCACAGTCAGACAGTGAGGTCCTTGAGGAACCCCTGACACATACTAATGCAGAGCCTTAACTACTATTGATTTCAGCCTGAGGGTGGGAATTGCTTCTTGCTAGAAAAAAATAGTCTTGTGTCATTCTCTCTAGAGCAATAAGAGTGTCTGGAGAGGCTCTGGCAGACAGAAAGCTGCCTGCTTGCTGTTCCCCTGTGTAAAACAAGAAGAGTTTTCCCTGAACAAGGCAGGCAGATCCAGTCTGCAAAATGGCTTTGAAACAGTGTCCTATATTATCTCCACTTCGGCCTGGTTTGCTGCCATGTCTTTTGTTCCCTTTGGAAACCACCCAGTGTATAGTTTTACATGACTAATTATTTGTTTTCATAGACAAATATGTGACCTACTTCTGGCCAAATCTCTGCAGGCTTCTGATCCCTAGGAAATCCTATGATGACCTGTTTGCCTTCCAGTTTAAATGTCTCAGAATAGTTTTGCTCCCTTCACATGTTAAAAAAGCTGTGAAAACCTACCTGACTGATATGGAGGAGAAGTTTATATTTTTAAATTTTAAATAAAAATCACTTGATTTGTAGTGGAGAAACTTTTGGAAAAGTGTAACACCAGGCCTGGCAGGGAGAGGGAGCATTGTGGGTGTCTCCTGTCCTTTTTTCATGGCAGAAATCACTTGTATTGAGGAAAAAGTGTCTGGGAAGGGAGAATTAGTTTGGCTTTTTAAAATTCATTGCTGATGATCTGGAGATCTGAGTCATGTTTGCCTGGCTTCATCTCCTTGTGCCAGTGTGGAAAAGTCATCCATCCTTCCCATACTTGAGGGCAACGGACAATAATTCCTTCCCCTGACCTCTGAGTCAGGCTGAAGTCCTTCAGAGGTACAGAATTCCTTTAAAGAGAGACCCAAAGTGCTGTAACCACAGGTATCAAGTAGAAAGGTTTTCCTACTTTCATTAATGTTTTTTTGTCCCTTTCTTAAGGAGTAGGAAGGGGTACTTTTTGACCAAATAGCACACACTCAATTTACATTTCATTGCAATTAACCTGGCTTCCAAGCCAGGGTGAGTTAAGACCTTTGATTTATTGCAGGAGAAAAATGGTTTCTAATGCACCAATGGATTTTTTTTTTCCAACTGGAATTCAGCTCTGGCTTGTTTAGTTAAGCTTCAGTTCGAGCAATGCTTGTTGGAGACCACAGTATCAGGAGGAAATGGTTGCCTCTGCTTGTTTCCCATGACCTATTACTTCAGCCTCCAAGGGGATGCATCTGGGGACTGCTCTGTTTATCTAGCTGACTACTGCTTCAGTGGGAATTTTGACACAGGAGGAAAGCTTGGCCAGCAGAGGGGAGGGGAACAGGGAGTGCTCCAGACTGGCAGCTCCTGTGGGAGAAAGGAAATGTTTTTCCTTGCAAAATCTGAAGATTAAAGTCTCTGGTCACTCTTCTCAGCAGCCATCCTTCTTTTGGCTCAAGTGTGTTAGTACAGAGCTCATTGTTGGCGTGGGGAAGAGGTGGTTTTCTCCAGCTTCGCTTGATCTCCTGCTCCCTTCCCCCACTGTCACTTTTGTCTCTGATTAAATATTTTGAAAGGAAACAGATGGGGATGCTTTGAGCCCCAGCAGGCCAGAGTGCAGGATTCCTGAACCTGTGTGGGTATTACTTAGCCTGGTGGTAATGTTTTACTGCCCGGTTTATTTTCTTTTGGGTTTGAACAAAGGAGGCCTGACTGCTCCTGATTTATGGGAGGTAAATAAAAAGCAGTTCGTTGTCTGCACTGCCATTTCTCAGCAATTGTCAGGAAGGAAAGAGATGGTCATGCCACTAATGATTTAAAGTGTGTGAGTAGCAGCCATACACTGCCATTAAATTATACAAAAAAAAAAAGTTCTTGGCTTGTAATGAGCATTTGGCTCCTCTTGCTTTTAGAGGAAGTGAGTAATCAAAGGGGAAAAACATGCCTGTTTGGGGTGACACCCATTTCAAAGGCTACACTGGGGGACTGTATTGCAGCCTGTCCCATTGCTTCTTTGGCTGTTGCTATTGCAACATCTTCCCCACACACAGTGTCAGGCATGGAGTGTTGCTCCCTTCCATTGGTGATGATGCTTGTGTCAGCCCTGTAAGGCAAGACTTAAAACCCCTGGTATCCTACAAAGGGAAACTTGCCATCACCCCCAGCAAAGGATTTCCCACGAAGTTCTGCTATCCTTGCACTGATATGGGTCACAGTTATGTGGAGTTCTGGCCGAGCACATGGCATTTTTGTGGAGAGTGCCAGTGCTCCACAGAGTCACTGGGTTAGAGTTGTTACTATTCTAAGCAGCAGCAGCTGATACAAATTTAAAATTTTCTCAATAAATAAAAAGTGCAGAGTTGTTTTCCAGGCCATGTTTCTTCTGCACACACCACCAGCACTTGCAGTAGTGCCACTCTAAGCACACATGAAACAATAAGGATCTTTCTGATGCCTTCCAGACGAGTCAGAGCTATTTTGGGAGCTCTAGTACGTGTTTGTAAACTCACAGATCATTTTTGCCTTCTTAACACTTAGAAGTAACTCCTTCCTGCCCTGCTTAAAAACAAGTGATGCTTCTTAAGTTTGATTTCCTAGAAACAGGCGGGATTTTCCTCCCTCCCCTTCCAGGCTCTTTGCACAGACTTGTTCACCAGCTAATCAGAGCTGGTTTGTTTGTGACTGCAGTGCAGGCTGGAGCATCCAGGGCTTTGTTCTCGCTCTTTACCTGCGAGAACAGAGAGCAGAGAGGGCTCCCGGTTCTCAGCCAGCGGGTCCATGGGGATCCGCTCCTGCAGAGGCGCCTTCTGCCCTGCCCGGGGAGGGAAGGAGCGCGGCCCGGGCAAGGGGAAGGGCGAGGGAAAGGAGGGGAAAGGAATGGGGGCTGCAGGAGAGAGCAGAGGGGAGTGCAGAGCCGCTCCCTGGGAGGGGTCCGCCTGCTCCTCATGGCTGATGATTGCCAAGCTTGTCATTCCACGTTCGTTCGTTCTCAGAGCACAAAAAACGTGATTGCACGGTCCCTCCCACACGGCACTCATCATCGCCTGCCGGGCCTGACTCGTTTCCTGTTTCATGCTTGCTTCAGCACTCCGTTTTTACCTTTTACAGCTTTCCCTTTCCAGCCCCAGAAGCAATCCAGTGCCACACTGCATTCCCTGATGGCTAACCCGAGCGATCCCTGAGGTTTTGGGTCATAGAGCTTGGGGTCCTCCACTGGGTTTGGTTTTAAGGTACAAGAGGTAGCAGCTTTGTAACATTTCCAGAAACAGGATCATTATCAAGCTGGCAGTGGCCCTGGGGCATGAATTTCAGAGGTTTCTACTTCATCAAGATTTAGATCTGAAAAGAGACCAAAGCTCTGAGGGATTTTCGCTTGCCTCAGAAGAAACCATGCTGAGAGTTGTATCTCAAGGTCACTCAATCATCCCAGCCCCCTCTGCTCCTTCTCATCACATGACCTGCTTAAAGACAGCAAAGAATTAAAACAGGACCATGGATTGATTTTCCCAGGGAAATCCTCCTGGGAGATAACCTGTGTGAATGCCTGGGCAGAGTCGGACAGAGGTCCCAAGAATAGGGCTGAGCCTCACAAAAATCCTCATAGGCTCGGGGCTGCTGCTCTAACCATAAATTGTATCAGTAGCTTTGGTGTCATGTGGTTACAAGCAGTGCAGAAACCCAAAAAAGGCTTTCCCCGGGCTGTAACATTAAAAAAAAAAAAAAAAAAAAAGAGGGACTGAGATAAAAGCTGCAGATTAGTACCCTGTTTTGGGGCAAAGACAGGTCATCCTGACCTGATGAATGCAATCTGCTGTTTGTGTCCATGCATGGGGTTACTCATGTGCTAGTTTGTAATAAAACATGTTCCAGCATCAAAAAGAGAGAAATCCCTCCCCCACTGATGCAAAATCTGCCTTCAGAGCAGGAGATGGGCTGCCTTGTCAGCTGGGGTGATTTGGCTTATCAGATTTATTAACATGATTGTCAGTAATACACGTTTTATCTGATGCTGTAATTTGTTTGCAGCACAAAGTCAGTTTGTTTAATAAGCTTCTGAGGCCTGGGCAGAGAGAGGCATTGGGGGTTTAATCAGTGTGTTGGGAAGAGAGTTAAGCACAGGAACTGTGTGTCCATCGGGAACCACACAGAGCATCTGGCCTGTGCTAGCACTCCATGGAGCTACAGCAAGCAGGAGGCTTCAGGGCAGTGCCCAACACATTTGGGAATTTTGTGCTTTCACAGCAGTGCACTGTGTCTGTTCCAGTTCCAGGCACTGAATGAGAGGCAGCACTTCGGAGAATCCCTGTCAGACAAACACACACACTGCCATTCACACAAGCTGTGTGTGATCTCTTTATGTGAGGGCAGGGCATGTGCTGTACCTGCAGGTGACAGCCTGGTGTGTTCCCCCTGGTCTCTGCTCTCCCTTCACTGACAGCTCTACCATTCTGGACTGCAGACTCTCTTGAACCATCCAGCCTCCAACATGTGTTGCAGGGCCAGAAAACCATGAGGCAGGGCTCTGCTAGCAAGCTCTCTGCCAAGGTTGCATTTTTCCCCTCCCCATCTAGCACTCCAAATCTGTCATCTGTCAGGAAATGCTGCACAAACTGCGGAACGTGAATTTTTGTATTAGTTGCTTTAGCCAGAGAATCATCCACAGCAGGGGCAGCATAGAGGAGTAGTGAATAGCTGTCCTGTCGTTGGAAATCCTCAGCACAGACCATTCATCTTTCCAGCAGTGCTCATCACACCCCAGTGAGGATGGTACTGCTCTAGCTCTCAGGAAAAGGGATGTCCTGGAATTGGTCCCCCTTCTCAGGGACTTACCTTGCTTCTCATTTTCCTGTGGTTTTACAACATGCAGCATACTCATCTCCCAGTGACACACTGGCAGTAGGTTGAGGAAGACAAAAATACTGAGGGAGTTGGCCACAAAAGAGTCTGAAGAGATTTCCTTCCTCCAAAGATGAGTTGTAGGTGGTTGCTACCTTTGGATCTGAGTTTGAAGCAAAAGGGAATTGAGCAGATTTCGCTAAGTTTCTCAGACAAACACAGCTGATTAAAGAAAAAGAAAATTGTTGAATAAAATGTGTGCAACATGTGAACAATCAAACCCCCCTACATGTCCATCTCACCCAGCACCAGCCAAGGTCCAAGGCTTCAGGCTCCTGGCCAACCTGGAGCTGTTCCTTCATCCAGCTGGCACGGGGTATGTGTACTATCTGGGCTGCACGTAGGAGAGAGCAGAGGAACATTGGCCCTCCCATCCAGGGCTGCCTGCACAGGCCCATCTAAAGGCATGCACTGCTGGCCTGGGCAGCCTGACCACATGCAGCTTGCAGTTTTTCCAGGGATTGGCATGGGCTGTGCAGCCCCAGGACCTCCTGGCAGCTGGAGCAGCAGTTGCCAAGCCCACGTGGCTGCTGGTGCTGCTGGAGCAGGGCCAGATTCCAGGAGAGAGGCTCAAGTGATGGCAGCTTCTGCTGCAAAGGACTCACACAGCACAGCCAAGGCAAAAGGAAAAAACGAAGTTCTGCAAATTTTGGGTCTTGTAAGCTAAGGTTGGTCACACAAAGAAGTGTAATTGAAGGAGGTTGAGACTGAGCCAAGCACCCAAATTTTAGTTCTGCCTACCTATCAACCAATGAAAATACATAAGAGACAGATTTTAAAAAGTGAACAGGCATCCAAAATCCTCCAGCACCTTGGCAAATCTAGCCAGTGATGTGCTGATGCTTAACTAGTCTTAAGTTCCTGACTTCAGGCATTAGGTATCTGAAACTTTCTCTTGCATCTTTTTCATCCTTTAGCAGGACATTTTCCAGTTATTTAGCAGGACTTATTTGATCAACTGCAATATTCCCTAGGGAAAAAAATGTATTTATACTAGAGTTCTAGTCGCTCTTAGGATCATTTACATGTAGAGCAGAAAAAATTTTAGCGCATCGAAGTTTTACTAAGTAGGGAGATGAGGATTACCATGTGTACTTTTTACTCTAATCACATCAGATTGGGCTCTGTGGCAGAAGATACAGGACATTGAGCCCTGGATGTGATGGTGGAACAGTGCTGGCAGGGAACTCTAAACAGTGCCATAGGTTCACTCCCTGAGAGTGATTTGTCCACGTTGTTACACTTTCACACTCCTCCTGAAAGCAGAGGGAGCTTTTATGAGAGGGTGATGTGAAGTCAAAGTCAGTCTGTTTCCAAACTCAAGAGTGTTTGTCGCTAGGGATCAGCAATAAGCAATGCAACTCTTTTGCCTGTATGTTAATACAAGGCACCAGGGAAATGTCTGCATGTTTTTGTACATACTGTGAGTTAATTATTACCACAAGACTTTTCTTTAAAGTCATACTGAAAATATTTTTTCCAAGAAAACATTCAGTGATTGGAAAAGCAAATAAATCAGTGTTTAAAGGTTTGTTATCTCACTATCCTTACTGCAACTGGTTCCTGCAAGCTCTGATGATGGATGAGCACATTAGAGCTGCACGTATTTAAGGCACTACAGGCTTTGCAGTGCCAGGAGCTTAAAGTACACGGTCAAGTTATAAATCACAAGCCAAAGTCGTGCCTTGACATCAAGCACTCCAAGCAACTCGAATGGCAGTATTATTTTAAAGTGCTTGTATGTTTCTAATGAAATACTGGATTTGCTTTGAATTTTTGTTTTCACCATGTTTGTTTGTTTGCATTTTGCTCAGCTTGAGCAGGCAAACTGGGAGGTACATATCCAGTATATCTCAGTTCTGCTTCTATGTAGTAGCGGTGTTTGATTTGCAAATATTTAAAACACTTTGGGAGAAGGTATTTCTATTATATCTGTGGAATGGATGAGCTTATTTGTTTTTAAAACTGGGGTGGGTTTTTTTTTTTCATTTTGTAAAACTTCAAACTTGTGTTAAAACATTGTATTCTTCTCTTGTGATGTGGGACAAGCTGACCTTTTCCCTGCTTAGTCTTTCCTGATGTCCTACACATTCTGTCCCCCTGTCCTCTCTGGGTGTACTCCATGGAGCTGTTGGGTAGCATTTGTCTGCAGCTCCTTCCACCTGCACGTGTTGCAGAACACCAGAGTCACCTGTGAGCTGGTGCTTTGGTTCTGTCTGTGTTGTGGTTAAGACTCATGTACTCTCTCTTTAGGTGCAAAGTTCCCCATTAAATGGACTGCACCAGAAGCAGCGCTGTACGGAAGGTTCACAATAAAGTCAGACGTGTGGTCCTTTGGGATCCTGCTGACAGAGCTGGTAACAAAAGGGAGAGTGCCATACCCAGGTAAGAAAAACGTCCTGCTTCACCTGGGAAAAGGAGTGGGAATGGGCCATATGTTTAAGCTGCAATGTTTATTTATATTCACTGAGCTCAAAGGAGAATGGCTATAATGTTTAAATTCTGTGTATCCTTGAAAACATTTCTGACTCAAAACTGCTTTGCCATGGTCATGATAAAAATGACAAGGGAACAATTCAACATGTTCATTTCTACTGTTTTAATTGTGCTCAATTCAATTAATATAATTTCTAGACAACTAATGAAAGCAGTGTAAAATTATTATATTCCGGAGCAAATAGCTCTCCACAGCATTGCATTTATTTTAAGGTACCTACAGTTAAACTCCCACAGAGGCCTCACTCCGTTTATTCTGTCAGACTGGTTCACTGCAAGGTTTGATGACTGTCTGAATGTCTGGTACTATCAAATCTCTTTTTCATAAACTCTTAAATTTTAATCCTTGCTTTTGAGATGGATGGAAAGGGAAGAAAATAGTTGTGTAATGTGCAGACCAGAGCTCATGGCAGGGTCACAGCAGGGCCAGATTCTCTGCATGGGGGAACTGGAGGCCCCATGGCTCTTTGTTGAAACCCTGCCAAGTGTCCAATGGATTAAGATTTGTAGGAGGGAGTGATTGGATCTGCCTATGCAGAAAGAGCTTTTTATTCTTGTTGCCCCCCTGAAGATTGTGGGCATTCAAGTGAAGAGGAAGGGGTGAGGTGAAAGCCATGCATTACATGGAAAATTATTTAATCCCTTCTTTTTCTCATCAGCACAGATATTAACAGGGGATGCCCTGCATTTCAAGATGCCTCTAGCTGCATTTTTAGTCCTTTTATTTAAAAAAAAAAATCTAAATACTCAACAGTCTGGCTGTGTGCACTGCAGCTGATTTAATGGAAAATGCCCTAGAGCAGTTTCAGTTTTCCAATCTGTGCTGTGATCAAGCAGTCAGATCCATATATCAAATTGAGCAGGAGAAGCATCAAGGTGGAGTTCAGTTTACCCTGTGGTGTCTCACACTACTTCAGAAGACTGAACTCAGCAAAACTAATCTTCCAGACTTTTACCAGGAATTTCAAGTTTGCTGGCACCTAGCAGTCAGTAGCTGATATTTGAGTAGAGAATATGGGGACTGGAGGGCATCTCGTGATCAGCAGTCAACTTTGGAATCCTTAACAGGGAGCAGCTTAGCAAAGTTGAGGCTGTGACAACTGAATGAGGTAGCAGAAAGTATATAATGGCATGTTTCTGTGGAATGGATGAGTCCCTCTGCCCAGCACTTCCCCATGTGGGGTGTTGGCTCCAGTCAGAGCAGCTCTGTCACCAGTCAGCACAAAAGTCTTCCTGCCATAAAGATTCCTGGTAGTGGATTTCTGCAGGTTTATTGAAGGTTTAAGCAGACTTTGCATGCTGTGCAAAGGTCAAAGAGAGAAAAAAAGATGTATGAACTTTAGTTGGTGCAGTGTTGCTCCCAGAGGGTGGGCAGTGTTCCTGACTGGGCTGCAGGAATTCTCTAGTCACTGCCAGCAGAGTGGGTGCACAGAGGCTCTCACCAGCCAGGGCAGAGTTAAAGTGAAAATACCATTCCATGCAAAAACAACCATTTAAGCCCTATGTTTACTCACAAGTCTGTAGCTGAGCACAGGGTTGGCCACGGCTGCAGAGGATGTCTGCACTTCATAAATGTTTCTTTCCCCCACCAAAGGAGAAAGAGCCCACAGGATGTGCATTTAAGTGCCTGCAATATATAACTTCTTGTAGGAGCCATGACAGTAATCTCAGGCATGGGCTGTGTCCTGAAATTCTGGACAGTTTTATTACATGGCAGCTTGAGCACATCAAAGAGAACCAGTGGGATCTCTGCTCTTTCAGCACCATCCTACCCCTTCATCCCTCACTACATAAAGCCCTCACATGCCAAAAGTCCTTCTGGCTCACTCTCCTCCACCTGCACTAGGACGACACCAAGTAGCTGGAAGCAATTTTTTGTGTGTTACATTTCACTAAGTCAGCAATTTTTTGGACAGTCATGTCCTGCCTTGGTTACACCCTACCCAGGCTCTAGGCCAGGGCCATTCCTTCCCACCAGGACTCCCCTGTTGCTCATCTAGGAGGTCTTAACAATTCTCATGGTCACCATCACTCCTCTCTGCCAGTTTTACATAAGGGCAGCATGGATCTTACATTTGAGTATCCAAAGTGTTTACAGATTTCAGTCCAGTCTCATTTCCCAGACCCTAAATGGGAAAGTTTTTATAGGCTGAGGCAGCAGTGGAGGGGAACTGGGGCCTTCTCAGGAGGATCTGTCTTTGCAAGTGGATGGAAAAGAGAGCTTGGACTTCCCAAGGTGACAAAGGCCTCCTGAGCTCCTTAGAAAAGGCTCTCTTTTCCCCTGCCACAGAAAGGACCATCAATCTCCTGTTTCGCACTGGGAAGAGGAAGGATCTTGTGAAGAACAACATTTTGTGAATACCCATCCCTGTCTGAGATAGGCAGTAGGGTTCAGATGGACCCACAGGGCTTTTCTTGCCATTATGGCATGGCTTGCACAAGGAGGAAAAATAGGATTTCTGTCACCCTGAGAGGCAAGACTCAGCCCTCTTCACCCGAGTGGACAACCCATAGATGAGAGAATGCAGTCTGTTGGCACTGCCAGCACTTTGGTACCCAAGATGTGACACTGAAAAGTGTCAGCTTTGAAACAAAGAGGGTCATGGGGCTGTCTGTCTGCTGTAATATCCAGTTTCTGAAAGAGTTGTGGGCATGTTGTCCTGATGTTCCTGCTTACAGCTTGTAGCAGGCTGGGAGAAGTGGAGAGAGGCCCTCAGACAAAGGGATTGCTCTCTTGCTTGACAAGCTCTTAGTGCCTGGGGAGATGATTTACAGCACACATCCCAGTCCTGGGGTGGTACTCATGCCTGCAGGACACCGTACCTCGTGCCTTCCCATGTCTGGAACCAGGCATTGTTTTAAGCTTGTGTAGAAGGAGGGAGAAGCACAATGAGTCGGACAGAGGGGGAGGGCAGGCAGTTTACAGCAGGGAAACAGACTGGGTGGCACAGAATTTGGCATTCTTTGTCCTACAGATTTCAACCAGTTCCTGTCCTGATGCCCCATTTTGGAAGAGAGACTGGGGCAGTGGTGAGATATATGACCAGTAAAGATTTTTGCTGGTGAAGATAAAGTTCAGTCTAGAGTTCACAATAAAGCCTTGCCCCAAACTCTATAGCTCCCACAAGCAAGACCAACTTTTTGGAAGGTGTCCTCATGTTCATACTTCAGCCAAGCCTGTTTCTCTGTCAGTGATCATAATGGGCCACTATGATAACTAATTTATGCTTTTTTATCCTTTTCACAAGGCAACAGATTCAAATAAGCAACTTTCACAGAGAGTCTCTATTTCCAGTATTACAGTGGAGAAATGAAAAATAGACTGGGCCGGAGGAGGAGCCAAGCTCAAGAAACAGTCTGCTCAGTGGACCCTTTTCAGTATCAGTTTCTTTTCTCTTTGACAAACGCCCTTCCCTAGCAGTAGTTGGAGAATCTGTGGGTTTTAAACATGCTGCCTTTGGGATAGGGAGAAATATCAGCCACACCAAACAAGTACCAAACAAGTACCTCTGACCTTGCCCCTTGTAATTTCTGCTGCAGTTGTCACGCCAAGAGCATTTTCATTTTCACTCTAGCGTGACAGCTATGGTACTATTCATATTGCTGCCCCTGGCCAGGCAGGTCTCTGAGCCTGGGCTCCAAGCAGCCCTGCAGCCTTTGGGCAGCTGGATTCAGCCTCCTCATCCCTGGGGGAAGCTGGGCCTCGAGTGCCAGAGGATGTGCTACCCAACCTGGGGCCAAGTACATAACAGAGAGCCAGCATAGGCAGGTGGGTGGGTGTAACAGCATCAGGGATGGTAAATAAGAGGTTAAGAAAGAGGTGTACTCACCACATAGGATAGATAAGGTCAGGTGGGTTTATTTGTAAGCAAGGAAGCTCTGCTCACAAATGCTGTAGCTCAAGGTTGCATCTATTCATCTGTTATACCAAGGAAATAACTTATTTTAGAAAATAAAGCCAAAGCAAAAAACAGATTTGATAGTCTAGCTTTGAGGATGAGGAGATGTTGGGGGTTTTCAGGCTTTAATTTCTAAGTGAAGTGGCATGACTTCCAGAGTTTTAAAACTTGTTCCTCCTTTTCCCCAGAAATAACTTGGTTTGCATTGCACTCAGTCAGAACAGCATTCAGAGGTTGTCTTCCCTTAGGAGCAGCTTTGCTGTTCCCTTCTGTGCACTGTATCAGTTTGATCACTGGTCTGAAAGCATGCATTGGGTCTGGAAGGAGCATCATTCCCAGCCTGAGTATTGGGTTTGCATGGCCAGGCTATCCTAGTGGGAGGGTGGGGGGTGCCTGAGAAGAGGCTGTGTCCTTGTGGAGGCCTGTGGAGAGAGGAGCCCCTGCTGGAGCAGCCTGCCCTTGAGGGACCATGGAAGAGTGACCCACTGCAGCAGTCTGGGGAGGGCTGTTGCCCATGGGGTGGACCCGTGCTGGAGAAGTTTATGGAGATCTGTCTCCCATGTAGGGACTCCATGCAGGAGCAGGGGAAGGACTCTTCTCTCCCTGAGCTGCATGAGAAACAACGACCATAACACCCATTCCCTGTCTCCCTGCACCACTGAGGGAGGAGCTAGAGCTGTTTGTAAGGCCTTCTTTTCCTTCTCGTTATCCTGCTCTGATTTTGTTAGCAATAAATTTAATGGATATCTCTAGTTCTAGCCTGTTTTGCCCATACACTGTTTGGCGAGTGATCTATCCCAGTCCTTATCTCAACTCATGAAGTTATAACAAATATAACTTTGTTATATTTTCTCTTCCCTGTCCAGCTGTGGAATGAGAGAGAGGCTTTGGTGGGTGCTTGGCACCCAGCCAGGGTCAACTCACTGTAGTCTAAGAGAAGAAAGCAAGAGTAAAACAGCCTAAAACAATTGCTCTCCTCACTGGACTTCA